TACTAGCAAGCTCTTGTGTGCCATCTGAACTCTTGTTTTGAGTTGGTACATAGATCGTCTCTTCTTCTTCTGCTCTTTTTCCTGTTGTGGTGGTTGGCAAAAGATCATTAGAATGGCGTGTATGGATCGCCTGCGACTGACTGTATTTGTTGTCCGAGTGTATGCACCGAACCATGACGTCCCTACCCTGACGGACGAATACATGTACAGTTACAACCTTACGAGATATATATTGATTATCGACAAAATGTGGAAAGATATCAATATATCAAATTTTAGGTATTTCACCAACCTCTAAAATGTCAATACTACATATAATTGTAGAATTGAAGAGGGAATTCAGAGGGGAACAAAATAAAAAAAATAAAAAGTGACAATACACAGTCTACTGGATTCAATCCATCTTGGGTACCTCCATCAGTAAGTCTTTTTATTATTTTTTCGGTCCCACTTTATATTAAGTGGCTTTAAGTACTATGCACCTACAATTGAAATAATAATTTGATGGACTTATTGTGTACATACATGTTTTTACATTGCACTTATATTTTGAAAATACCTGCATATAATTACAGCTGTAATTAACTTGTAATTACACTGTTGCTCCTTCCCTTTTACCTCAACCTACCCGCAAACCTATACCACCACACCTGACCCTAACCATACCTGTATCAGACCTCAAAAGCAGCAAGAGTTTTACAATACAACCTGAACACAATAAGCACATTGTACATATTTTTGGATCTAAGTACATAGTACTTATCGCCAATTAATATAAAGTGGGACCATTGTTTTTATCATCCAGCAGGCAAAATTGCATGTCACTTAGAAAAATTATACCTACTTAATATGTCCTGAAACTACCAAAACAATTTGAGGCTTTATTCATGTCTGTAGCATAAACAGAGCAGCGAGATACACGCTTAAGTTTAATACTTAGTTCTAGGGATTTGAACAAACACCTAACATTAATTTTGCCACCCAAGCAATGATAATAGTGAAGCTTAAGCAAACACATTGTTTTGAAAGGATCTCAACATTCCTTAAAGCTCTTATGTTCAGCCACAGTGAAGAGCCGCTGCACTTTGGGGCACAATCCTTCATCATGCCTGCAGCACAGGCCTTTTGACCCAGGTGTGAACTTGAGTGTCAATGCCGCTCTAGAGTATGTTATTATTTAATCGGCAGCGGTCAGCTGGGGATATAATTCCAGTGCATAGGAGAGCCGGTCGTGCACTCACACTGGACCTAAGTGGCCAGCCATTTCGGCAGCAGCCATACTTCTCATTTTTCTCTGCTGGAGGCCCAAGTGTTTTCATCAAATTTACAGTTATTTTTTCCCCTCTTGTGCAACCAGAGAGGTGGCAAAAAAGGAGAGACAGTGCAAGGAGGAAACAAAAACGGGGAAAGTAAGTGGAAATAAGGTAGTCTTTTAGACATTGGAAGTGGATAAAGTTAATTTTAGATCAGCTCAAGACAAGGATGAGTTTCAAAACATGTCTTTGTAGTTCCCCCACATTCAGCCAGAGCTCAGCAAGCAGTAAACGTGCTTCCCAGAGGTACTGCTGCCAAGGGTCTATCATTCATTAGGCTGCCACCATCATCAAATGCATTCCAGACACTTAATCACTAGGATAGAGATAAAATAAAAAGCTTGAAGGTCACCTGGGGGAAAGAGCGATAGAGGGGAGATAGCATGAGGGGTGAAGATGCATGGCCTCATTTTGATTGAGGACGTGATGCCTTCAGTCACACACGACAGAACACCCGATGAGGAGATGCGTTTTGACTGGAGACCTTTATCACAGACTCCAACGATTTGCCATGCTACACATCACAAGGAAACGGCCCTGGAGAATTCAACTGCAAATCGCAAGCGAAAACATTTAATAAGAATATCTGAATCTACCCTCTTCCGTATTCACTTTACGGTCTAGAAGACGAGCGACAGTGGAGCGTCGAGCGAAACTCTGAATCTGAACCATCATGCATATTTCCCATTCTTTCCCGTCAGGTGTTTTTTTGCCTGTCTACTCCTCTGATGTTTTGACATATTTCTCTGCCTCGTCGAGCACTCGTCTCTGATTTGCCGTACTGTTTAATGTTCATGAAGGGCGGCGCAAAACTCAGACCGTTGACAAGCCACTGGCTGTTGTTACAAGATCTTAGACAGACAAAAAAAAGACGAGTTGCACCGCTGAGGAGCCCCACACTCCACTGCCTCAAAATAAAAAGCGCCTTGACCTCCTCGGCAGCCAACTTCACCTCTCAACTGTGACGGACGGACGGTGGCCTGGTCTCGTCCCGCAGCCCAGCATGCTTAAATAATGCCGGCTCTTTGCACGCCCCGGGCCAGCAGCCACCCACCATACTGGGAAACTTCTGATGCTTAATCTCCTGAAATGCAAATGCGCCAAACGAGAGATGGGGGTCTCACCCTGCTGTAAACGGACATGCTTAAACCCTCCTCTAAGGCTGCATCGACAACCAAATCAGAACTATAATAGTCACTTTCGGGCAGGAATTTGAATTTGAAAGGGTCTATGGTGGGGCGTACAATTTTGCTCCAACATATTGGATCTTTCAAGGGCTTTGTTCACACGCCATGCACCAACCGAAGAAAAATTGTCAAGGCAACATGTATCGAATTTCACAAAAGTTCAGAGCAAAGAGATTTCCCTCCCCTCTCCGAACCTCCCGCCGAAGACGAAACAAGCGATCCACGACACATCCTCTTACTTTAAAGAAAACAAGCGGCTGACACATTTCCTGCCAACAGGCCCTTTCCTCAGATAACACAAGTCTCCCGTCAACAGGAAGCCCTTTCACCGGCGGCTCTGCCTCCCTTCGGCACGTCACACAAAACAGCTCCTCAGCCCCAGCCCCCACAGCCTCCCCTTCAACTGTTGAGGAAAACTTGCAGGAGATGCTCACTAAAACCAGAAGGAATCAGAAAAGATAGGTACCGGACTTAAAAGTGTGGGCTGTAGCCTCAAGTCCTTCAAATGCTCTTGGTCTGAGAGGCAGCGTTTTAACCGCCTCAACAATACTCCTGAAATCAATTCATGTGCAATGGTATCACCATTACACACAGCCTGCCATTACATCAAACCCCCAAAATAGCTCTGGCCAGACAGACCGACAACATTACAGTCTGTGCAAACCACAGGATAGGGTGCACACAAAAGCACAAACATGCCCTTTAGGCACGGGTCAATGCTCTAGATTTGTTAAAAGTCTCCAGTTCTTGAAGTTTACACGAGTGAGTGCACGAGCGCAGCAACAACGTGTAAAGGATTTGAGGAAAGTTAGTAAAAAGCAAAGCAGAACTCACATTAAGTGCAGAGTGCATTTGAAGAGCGGTGAAAGAAGAAAACCTGAGGCAACCTTCATAAGGCAGGGGCTGTACTGTTTGAGCAGCTGCTAATAGGAGAACTGGCAGAAGAGAGAGAGAGCAGACGCTTTCTGCAGGCTGCTGTGATGACATGCAGGCTTTTTTTTTTTCCTTTTTTTAGTAAGGGGGCTTATCTTTGTCTCTATGGTAACTGTGTCTCTGGGTGGTTATTAGAAACCCTGAACTTCCTGTGCATCTGCAGGATCAGCCAATCACACACCGTGTTTTCATAGGCGGAGATAGCTCGTGCTATAGGCAGTGAAGAGCGGCCACATGAGGGGGCCATGGAAACAGAGGGTCAGGGAAAACTTACAGCACAGCATCGCAGCAAACCAAACACTTCGTTGTCCTCTACACATTTATAGAAACTATTTTAGAAGCTATTTTCTTCCCTAGCAAAACAGCTTCCATGCCAGAAGCTTTTTTTCTAAAAGGGACATTGCTATCAAAGTATCTCAGTACTTTTAGGACGAAAATGGAAACTCTTGTGGAAAACACAAACTCAGCATCTCAGATTCCCAGAAAAAAAAAAAACTGTGGTAAAGAGACTTGCAGACAGACGACCGCAGAAAGCTCAAAGCTCAGCAGAACGGCCAGAGTTACAAGAGTCCAGCTCTAATGACAATAAATCCATAGGATGTGCTGTGTACCAACACATTCATGCGGTTCGTTTTAGCAGGAGACTGTGGAGGAGCAAACCTTAATGCTCATGAATGCAAATGAACAGTGAGAATGCAGATTACAGTTGCAAAGCAAAAAAAAGCTGACATGGAGCACGCATCTAGGACAGGGCTTTCAGCTGCTGTGTCCAAGCGTGCAAAGAAAAGACAGCTGAACTGAAGAATTGCAATCTAAAACTATCAGGTTACAACGGGAAAGCTTCATTTTCCCAGCGCAGCAAGGAAATACACCAGAAATCAGAAATGAACCAAAAGTTGTTTATCCTCACAGACAGGAATGGGAACACACTTTAAGTGTTTATAGGAAGTACAAACACACACACACACTCTCTGCATATTTTCCCAGTAGTCTCTCTGTCTCCTTGGTTTAAGCGGGTGAAATCATTTGGAGCAATGTGGCTCCCCTGCGCTGACTTGTTTTCCACCCAGCGAGCACATTCAAACTTCACTCAGTGGCTGCTTTATTTAACGCTGCATTTGTTGACAAGTCTCGGAGCAAAGTTCCTCACGTAGAACCCTGGGTGGTGAACTCGAGAACATCAAATACAAACATTAACAACCAGAACAGAGTGCCCTCCACCCCGAGGACAAGATGTTACTTAATCGGCAGCAAGAAAAACATCGAGCAGTCTACAAGGACAGGAAGGGAACGACCCCCGAGGTACGCTCTAGACCTCCTCCAGCACCCTTTACAGATGCGGTGACTTCCATTCCTCAGTGACAGGAGCGTGCCTTCTTTCCTGTCTCTGCTGTCACAATATTTCATCCGGCGTAAGTAGCACATGTCCCACACGTAACTAGACTCACCAGCCCGGAGCTCCCAGTTGCGTCTCAATGAACGCAAACGCTCACCACACACCGGCTGACTCCTGACAAGACAGAAAGCCCTGATAGATTACAGCAAGAATGATCATTCAGACACAAACCTTTTAATCCAGATCGTCCCCTGATTGGCTGCCTCCGCATGAGCTCCAGATTTTTAAATCCGACTGGTTAATCCCTCCATTTCTCTCAGATTGAGTATTTCAGCAGTGACCACAGTGGGCTCTAACATTCACTTGGCTTTTTTCTCTCCCTCCCTCTTTCTCTTTCTCTCTTTGCACTCTGTTCTGAGACCGCTCACTGAGCTCTGGAACTAAGGCAGCCTGATGAGGAGGGAAACATCTCGCTGGGTCCTAGTTTCTCTGGTGTTAACTGAAAGAATGCCATTGTTCCATGTGTAACCCAGGGCTACACTCTACAGACGGCTGATAAGTCCTCCGCTGTGCCAGATCCACTCTCGGGGTATTTTTGTAGATGGACGGAGATGGATGGAGAGCTGTTTGATATCCATTACCTGAGGGGGAAATGCAGAAAATATTAGATCTTACAAACAGATCTAATAAATATCTTGTTTTATTGCTGTGTTAATTGATTAATTATTATTATTATTATTTTGCAAAATGACATTAAATCTTGTTTTTAGAGAAATATAGTACAATGAGGGTTATGCTTAAAGCAACCACTTTGGGTAACACTTTATAATAACTGCACGCTATTAATCATTTGTTAAGCATGAGTAAACAGTTAATTCCTCATTTACAAAACATTAATAAGCAGTTTATAAATACAGCTATGAATGCTTTTTTTTCTTGATTTATAAGCTTACCTATAATGCGTTTAATAATTGTATTTTCATACTTTGTTAATGATCAATTAATAATTTCTAAATGAAGTATAGCATTATTTACAAACTAGTTATTTATGAATTGTCATCCATTCATAACATCACTTAGAAAGTGTAAGTAAATGTAAATACAGGTAGTTATAAAGCATTTACTAAAGTTTATAGCTCATCTGAGGACTATTCATGCCTTGTAAAGCATTTATAAAGGAGATTTAAAGGTGCATCGATATTCTAAACAGTAAAATGTAACAAACACAACATAGTGATACAGAACATGGTTAACAGCCTTTAAATCTCCTTTATAAATGCTTTTCAAGGCAATGCCTTAAGCATTATTATAAATGTCTATTAATGCTTTATTAATGATTAATTAACTGTTTACTGATGCTTAAATAATGATTATTTGCGTGTAGTTGTTATAAAGTGTTACCCGACTTTTTAATTTTGAATACTTTTAATTAGTAATAAAGAAACTTCAGTTTGTCGTCTTATTCAGCTTTGTCTAAATGAGATGTTAGATTGAACATTTACACTGCTTTTTTATACACAACTTGTGTGCTAAATACATAGGCTCCTGGAGAAATACAATAACTGAAATTTGGTTATTCACTGATAATAACATATCTTATAAAATTTCTCTCCACTGCAAGTTTAAGGTTTAAGGTTTGACATCAGGGATTCTCACACGTCTTGTGACCAATTGCAATGTTGCATGTTTAAATAGTTGCATGGCTTTAGAAGACTTGAAATGTATTGCAGAGGTAATATTAACTATGACGATGGTGATTTTTGGAGACTGACAGCGCTAAGTAGAACGGAATAGAGCAGCCCAAATATTCTGCCTGGCAGCTTATTTAAAAAAACAAACAAAAAATAGAAAAAGAAATGAGGGTAAGCAGATGAGAATATTTGTTTGACTTAATCCTTTAAGTTGATTTCTGTCCAAAGGGTTTTTTTTTTTTGTTGTTTTTTTTTTTTTTTTCTCAAATTCAGATAAATGACTCAAGTGCATGGGACTAAAGAATGGCATAACAAAATCCCTCTATGTCTGCAGCATGAAAGCACACAAATCACAACCATTTTTTATTTATTTATTGTTATTTTTTGCAAATGATGTGAATATTGCAAACAAACTGATCTAACAAAATAGGTAGCATTCTAAGATCACAACAGATGTCGCCTGAAGCCTGAGGAAATAAATACGCTATTGCATGTCTTTCCAGCTTTTTAGTATCAAAATGCATACCTACTTTTTAATAACAGATAGGAAAACAACCACTAAAAGCCTCATGACATTGAAAAGAAAATGATTTTAGCCCTGCCCTTTAAGAGATACTAATATTATTTTTCAGGAAAAAAAAAAAAACACATAAAATCCCCAAATCCTTTGCTACCTCTCTGAAGAGTTCTCTATTATACATATGGCAGCAATGCTAAAACTATTGTGTGCGCGGACGCTACAGCCAAGGCTATAAATATAAGCAACACATGGAGCGGCAGACTGCAAACCAGGGGGAAATTTAGGCTGCTTATATCTGTCAAGAGCTGCACGAATCAGGCCGCTGGCCATATGATCAGCCTGGGGCTGAGTCCACCTCCTCAGCAGGGAGCTTTGTAACTGCGCGTTTCATTTCTTTTCCCAAAAACAGATTGAGATAGAGAGGGGGGAATTTTTGTAAAATACTCTGGATGCTTATGTGAAAAATGCCTCCTGATGATCAAAGTGTTTCGAATTTCCCTTATCTAAATAACAGTTGACTTATGTGTTCACAGTGTAAACTCAGTGGCTTACCGCAGATCTTGGGGGCCCCGCCGTGAACAATGAGACGGGGCCCTGGACACAAGTGGAGATGTCATGCAACTCGGGCCCGAAACAGCATCTGATGGGGGATGTAATCTTTTTAGAATTACAAATTCTAAACAGTTAGTAGCATTTGAATGTCACAAGTGATGATGCAATTCTGGATTGAAGGACGGTTCAAAACACTGCATTTGGTCCACTTTGCTCACAAATCAATAATTAACATTCAAGAGCATGATACACAGAAATAATTGTGATTTCGGTCACTTTAGATTAGGTTCCAAATCTCTACAACTTTTGTCTCAATAAATTCCTGCTTATTAATAGTTAGTAAGGTAATAGTTAAGTTGGGTAGGAATTGGATAGGATTAGGAATGAAGAATAAGGTCATGCAGAATAAGGCATTAACATGTGCTTTATACTCATAAACAGCCAGTATCCTATTAATATGCATGTTAAGGAGTAGTTCACTTTTAAAAAAAAAAACTGTTGCTGATAATTTACTCACCCCCATGTCATCCAAGATATCCATGTCATTCTTTCTTCAGTCGAAAATAAATTAAGGTTTTTGATTAAAACATTCCAGGATTTTTCTCCATATTTTTCACTTTACTGGGCACCAAACAGTTCAAGGTCCAAAAGACAGTTTCAGTGCAAACTGTTCAAAAGGCTTTAAATGAATTCAGATGATGAATAAGGGTCTTATCGAGAAAAATGATGAGTCATTTAAAAAAAAAGTTTAAGTTTTATAAGCTCAAATGCTCACCTTACTCTGTTCTGTGATGCGCGTTCGTGACTCTCTAATTCGAACTTGTTTATCAGAATTAACAAATCTTTTTTCGAGTCATTTGGTTCATTCAATGAATGAAAATAACGAATCGACTCGGAAAAAGAGTTCGAACAGGAGAGTCAGAAAAGCAGAGCTTATAAAATTTAAACTTTTTTTTTTTTTAAATGAGCGATCGTTTCGCTTGATAAGACCCTTATCCATCGTCTGGAATCGTTTAAAGCCCTTTCAACAGTTTGCAGTTTGCACTGAAACAGTCTTTTGGACCTTGAATCGTTTGGGTTCAAGGTTCATATTGAGAAAAATGCTGGAATGTTTTCATCATAAACCTTCATTTCTTTTCGACTGAAGAAAGAAAGACATGGACATCGTGGATGACATGGGGTGAGTAAATTATCAGCGAAAGTTTTTTTTTTTGTGTGTGAACTACTCCTTTAATAAGCAACTAGTTAATAGTGAAAACTGGACCCTAAACTAAAGTGTTACCGATTTCTTAGTAAATATATTTATGTAGAATTTGCATAGAATCAAAAAGGAAACTTACACACAGTATATTTCCTGCTTTAATGCAACATGTACCAAGTAAAATTAGTCTAGGTCCGTAGTTTAACCCAAATAAAATGTTAAACGAGCCTGTGAATTCAAAGCACATTTTTACAGTAACAGTGTAAAGAAAAAAATGCTTTTGTCCTTGACTGATGTGTAAAAAAAATAGAGCTATTGATTTTTTTTATGTTATGTGAATGAAGCCAGACTCGTGAGCACAAGAGCTTTTCAAAACTGTACATTTTCAGATCAAGCCGTTAATCATGTACAATAACGTTTCAGTAACAGAAACCAACTGAGCTGCCAAATGCTCTGGCCTCTGAACGTCTGGCAAAAAGATCCAGCTTTTGCAGCAGCTGTAGGATGAAATTCTGTTTGTGTTCCCCAGTGCTAATGTTTCAAGTGCCACTGAATATATAAAAATAGCAGCATATCTCAATATGAAGCAAGATTTTTATAGGTGGCAAAGATGAAATGTAGCAAACAGTGATTTACAGAAATTGAATATATAAATATGGTTGCAAAAATTACTCAAGATGCCATAATAAACTATAATGAGAGCAAATGTTCATGATTTTGCATAATAAATCGAATTGTACAGTATGATTGGATGAACAATGATTTAACACACCTGTGATTGCACATCATCTTTGATCATTTTGTTGCTTGGCAACCATAAACAGTCAGAGGTTGAGCTAATGAACTATATTACTTCGCAGGAGAATTGTTTATTATCATTAACAAATGCAATTGTTTATTGAACGTAAGTGTCTGTCATCATATTGATGTTGCTGTTTTAGGAAAACAATAAGCCACTCGAGGATGTTACAATGATTTTTCCATATCACACTTAACATCACCTTTTAATTATAGTAAAATTACTATAAAATGCCTTCAATTGGCTTTTTTAAATGTAAAATGTTCGGGCAGCAAGTGCTCCATAAGTTCTAGTAAACCGAGAGGAAACAAAAACAAAGCGTGCACTTCTTCGTTTTATTTTGCTGCCATTTTCAACATAATAAAATTAATATTAATAATTAATAAAATTAACCATAAATGTCCATTCCTTTCCATTCCTATGTCCACAATCTCTTTTCTCTGTACTCATTAAAATGATTTACATACAGAAGTCACAAGGATAATACAATTAATGTTCCTCTCAGTTTATTACTACACCTTCCTTTGTAACATCTTTGAAATAACACATTTGGAAAAAAAAATAAAAATAAATACAAAGCCCAGATGAATGTCTTCATCATATAATATTTTGCCTGAGGCTCATAAGTGAATTAATGTAGCGTAATTCCTGTGCGAAGTG